GCACTTATGATCATTGCTCACCTTTGTTCGGTGTCTGTCAGTTTCTTGGAAGAAAAAGCACATGGTTGTAGCTGTCCACGTCTATTCTTTTGGAGTAGAACTGCTCCAACTGCTACATCGCTAGCATCTGCTTGGATGACAAATGGTTGTTCAGGGTCTGGGTGTTTCAGGATTGGTTCTGCTGAGAACAGTTGTTTTAAGTTTTTCGAATGCCGCTTGGCATTCCATCATCCAGGTAAGGGGTTGCCTGGGTTTGGGTTTCTCCCCCCCCCCTTTTATTTTTAACAAGTTTGTGATGAGGAGGGTGATATTCGCAAAAGCTGGAATGAACTGGCAGTAAAAATTTGCAAAACCCAGGAAGCTTTGCAGTTGTTTGCGAGTATGGGGCATCTCCCAATCGATGACAACTTTTACTTTTTGTGGGTCCATTTCTATTCCCTTGTGGGATATTCTATATCCCAGGTAGTCAATTTTTTCCTGGTGGAATTCACATTTAGAGAGTTTTACGTATAGTTTTTATAGATATTTATATATATTATATATATTATATGTATGGTGTTCGGCTTGGTTCGGGTATTTTCCCACGTCATTGTAGTTCTTTTAAAGTTGTAGCAACGTTTCAGCAGAATCTCATCTGCCATCATCAGGCTTCTGTATTGTGTCCGTCTGTATATTATTGTGTTGTGTCCGTCTGTATATTACTGTATTGTGTCCGTCTGTATATATATTATATATATATATATATTTTATAGATAGTTTTTATATAGCGTTTAGGAGTTTTGTGAGAACTGCTCGGAGTAACTTGATGTGTTTTTCTTTTGTTTCAATGTAGATTAAAATATCATCAAGGTAAATGAGAACTCCTTTATACAAAAATTCATGGAGGGACTCATTAATTAATTGCATGAACATGGCAGGGGCTCCTTATAATCCAAAGGGGAGCACTTTAAATTGGTAGCATCCCAATGGGGTGTTAAAAGCTGTCCTCCACGCATCCCCTCCCCTTATTCTAATATGGTAGTATGCCTCTCGTAGGTCTAACTTTGAAAAAAAAATTCCTTTAGAGAGGTGGGCTAACGTGTCCTTCATGAGGGGGAGTAGGTACATATTTTCCACACAGATGGCAATTAGGTTTTGATAATTCACACATAGACACAAAGAGCCATCTTTTTGCATAATAATACTGGGGCTGATATTTTTGGTTGGGTAGGTTCGAAGAAATCCCTTTTTAGATTTTTTTTTGATAAATGCTCTTTCTTTTAGTTCTCTGCGGGACATGCAGTACATTTTTGGTTTTGGAAGTTTAGCCCCTGGTAGGATTTCAATGGGTCAGTCTGTGTCGCGATGGGGTGGGAGTTCATCAGAAGCCTCCTTGCTAAATGCTTGGGCTAAATCCTGGTATTCGTTGGGGGTGTTAATGGGTTCAGCCAGCTGACTGGCCATGGCTGGTTCTCTGTTCTCTATTATCTTACTTTTCCTTTCCTCTGGGCAGTTTGCAAATGCTACATGTTTCTGGAAATGTATGATTCCTCTCTTCCAGTTTATTTTTGAATTCTATTTCTGTAGCCATGTGAGTCCTAGTACTAGTGGCCCTTCTATTCCTGGTGCTACAATGAATGTGAGCATCTCACTATGGTTCCCTAGTCTTATTTTCAATGGTTCTGTGACAAACCTGGCTGCCCCCCCCCCACCACTATAGTTCAATCTAATTGGCAAAAAGCGATGGGATTTTCCATTTTCTTTAGTTGGATTCCCAATTTCTCTGCTAGGGAGGGGTTGATTAGGCACCGGGTGCATCCCAAATCCAGTAACACTGCCACTTCCTCCCCCTTCCCTCGGTTGGGGATAAATAGTCTTAGGGGTAGAGTGATTGGTTCAATTGGGTCACTTACCAGTGGGTCATCTTCCAGATTGCTTTCGGACTGGCTCAGGTCTCCTCAGGGCATTGGGGATACTTCCTCTGGGTCAGGGGGGACCGTAACCTCACAGCTTCTCAGCTTCTCAGGCCAGTTTCTTTTTCTCGAGGGTTGGGTTTTCCAGGATTCCCCCCTGATAGGTTGTCTGGCTTTCTAGCAGAGGTTTTCGAATGGCATTCTGCTGTGCAGTGCCCCTCTCTTCCACACTTAAAGCAGCCAGCTGGTCTTGGGATCATGGTGGTTTGGGGTTTAAAAAATTCCCACTTCCCTGGGGTGGAGATCTTCTCCAGACTTTGCCACTGCGGTACTGGTTTCGGGTCATGTTTATCTCTACCTCCTCTGCCATCAGAGGAGGGTAGGATTTAATATATTCAGGTTACATCAAAAAGGATTACTTGTCCCAACTCCCCCCCCCCCCCCACCTTCTTCTTCCTTTGAAGAATGGCAGATATACAGATCTGGCACCCAAAGCTACAGCTATTAAGCCTATTGCTTAATAGCTGAATAGCCCAATTGTTAGAGCTATTATGCTAATAAAGTCAGAGTAATTAGATTTCATTTGATTTAGAACATCTTCATCCATTATAGAACGGCCAATAAACTAGAAATTCAAGTGGGTTTTATGTCTGGTATTGTCGATTCCTTTTAAGAGCAAACTCAGCTAGAGAATATTGACAGGACTGTAACTAATATGGTTATTGAGAACAAGGCAAAAGCATGTTCAAGGGAACCCTAAAGTTTTCAGAAGTACAACAAAAAGTGCAAAATTAAAACAAAGAAGAACAGAAGAAAAGGAAATATAAGATTATAAGATGAGAATGATGAGCTAAAAAAATAGGAACATTTCATACAAGACTTTGAATAAATATTCCATTTTGCATTTTCTGGTGTAATTTGGCATCTTAGGAAATTGAGAAAATATTTAATAACTAAATAAAATCAGATTTTATGACAGTCATAAGCCATCTATTACTCACCAAATACTAATACTTTTAATATAGCTGGATAAATGTAACTAATAGGTCACCTGATCCCCTCCTTAAAGATACATACTGGGGCACTTTGAAAATTAAAAGGAATATCATCAAATTGCTTACACAGAGCAACTCCCTTCAGATGGCATCAGAATCTTTATGTTTAAAGGGTGCATCAACTCTCACCACATAGATAAAAGCAGTGAAAAAGGTAAAAGACAATAATTGATAATTATGCAATTTTTCAGGATATTGTTAGAATCAGCTTTCTAGTTCTTCACCTTCAGTTTGAACAGCTGAGGTAGTGGAGGTTTCCTGGAGCAGCTGTAGCTTGTGTCACTTGCACTGCCATGCTGGTTTGTACTATTGCAGCTGGCACTTTCCAAGGCACCTATAACTGGATACCTGAGGATTTCTTCCCAAGGTTGAATGCAGTGTTTTCCTTCTTGCAGCCCAGAGTCATGGCACACCAAAAAGCCCTTGAGACACAGCAGGGCAAGCAGCCCCAGAGCCAGGTGTTTCTGGGATAACTTGCCACATTACATGATAAAGGTGCAGGGCAGCCAAAAGATATGGACTGGAAGAGGGAGGTTGGAGAAGTTGAAGGCGAGGCAGTCCTTTATTTTGAAAGACTTATCTTGGAAATCAAGGCTCAAGACTGGGAGGACCAAGCTGAAAATGACTTGAATTGAAATAGTGCAATTGTGAGCTTTATGGCATCATCACTTAGTACTTGAAATTTCAGTCCCAATTGCCGCTGAAGCCAAGGACTATCTTTTACATGGAAGAATTTGACATTACCTAGAATGGTGATGAAGTTGGTGGAGCTGACTGAGATGACAAAATTAACAGCTTTGATTAGAGAAAAGATATTGATACATTTTAATGATTGGAAACCCCTTTTGAACTTTGTCCATGAAACAGAAAAAATGAAATTTGACATATGGATTTGATGATTAGAAGACGTGGTAGATAATAAAAATGAAAAATATATTGTAAACTTACTGAATAATTTAATGTAACTATATACCTTATAGGTACTCTGAAAGAAAGTTTTATTTATATTTGTTTGCCTTAATTTTTTCTTCACTTTTGGCTTTGTTCTGTTTCTTGATTTATTTTTTTCTCTTTTTCTTATTTTAATTATTCATTTCTGTTAGTTTTTATATTTCTTTAAAAAGTTTAACAAAGTTATTGTAACTCAAGGACTACCTGAATATATACCTATTCTAATGCATGTGTATGTGTAAAACATATACACATTGTAACAACACTTCATGGTTCACAAAACAGTAAAAACAAAAGAAACTCCCAATCATAAAATAAAATTTAATAAAAAGTCTATAAAACCCCAGGGCAGCACTCTGTCATGCACCCACCATCTTGCTGGACTCCAGCCTTATCATATCTCTGTGCTTATGAGAAGAGTCAGCTATTCAAGACCTTCTTAAAGGCAAGGAGGGTGGGGAACTGCTATGGAAAAGCACAGTTCTAGGCCCTGCTAGATGACAACATTTAAGGGAAGGGACCCGGAGCTCACCCAACATAACTCACCCTCAGAGAAAAGTGAACCTGTACATCTGGCCCCATGACATTTATGGGGCACCCCCATGAAGAACACATCACAGTAAATCAACTAAGCAGTGATGTAGGGTGGTGCTGATTCTTACATGTACTGATGATGTGCTTATGTATGCTTATGTATGTAAGCATCTATGTCTGATTAGCTGACTTAAATCCTCTTAGTTTAGTTTAGTTTACTTTATTGTCATTGCACCTCTTACAACAAAATCAAACACCATCTTCAGTGCACATCATGACCATGAAAATAAACATGTATCCTTCACACTCCACACATTGAACCAAAAAACCCCAACACTGCACCAACATTGCATTATACAGCTTGCATTATTTTCTTGATCTCTTATTAAATCTGCTGTGTAGAAGAAGCCTGTTATCCTGCTTCTTTTACAATAAAAAGTCTTTTACAATTTCTAACTTTGGATAATTATGTGATTGTGACTTATTGAAAGTACTTTAACATTTGCCAACTGAAATATTCTTGTTCAAGAATGTTCTAAAATAATAAATATGTGTCTATTTTTTCTAGCCCCACTTACAGAAAAACCACCAAAACTTTTGTATCCTTTGGAGAGTAAACTGACAATTCAAGAGACACAGTTGGGTAAGTGACATTCTAGAAGTTCCAATATTGTTTGATCTTAATGTTAAGAAAAGATCCTTACACTATGCAGATCCTTACACTTTCTATGCAGATTATTTTAATAATGTTTTTTTACCTTAACTATACAATACTTGTTATATAAAGTGTCCTATTCCTTTAGTTATCTAGAAGTAAATAAAGAGTTGTCCATGGTTGAAAAGCTATATAAAATAAGTGTTCCAGCTGATGAATTGTGTTGTTTACTAAGAAAACTGTTGGATAGGCCAGAAAATGAATTTTATTTGACTACACTCCACTGCAAAATTTAAGTTTTCTTTAAAGCATTATGTCAAAAATAATGTTTTGCATCTGGTAAGATATATTTTCACATCATCAAAACAGATTTGTTGTACTATAGACAGATTACTCCAGAAATCAGTGCTCTCTCATTGTGAGATTTGACTTTTTGGTTCTTGACAAATAGAAGCTGTTATTGCTTCCATCCTTATTCTTCCATGATGACAGAGCCAGGCTAGGCTAATGATACTGAATGAAGAGAGTAGTTGCTTTCCTCTGTTCCTGCAGAAATTACAAACTGCTTATTTTAAGATTCAGTCTCACATTTCAATTTTCCCCCTAATAAAGTCCTTAGCTGATAAAATTTACACTTTGTGAAAGTATCTATTTTCACATATAGTCATATATGAAAATAATCCTTTCCCCAATTATCTGAAAACTAAAATATATTAATTCAAAAGCAATATTATATTAATATTATAACCTTAAGCCAGTGTTTTACATTAGATGTTCTAAAAGAGATATTTTCAGTTACCTCTATGTAAAGCCAGTAATTTTGTTGAACATATTTTATTTGGAAACTTTAGAAGCTTTTAATCTAAATATTATATATTTAAATAATAATTGTACATTGAATAATATTGATTTAATATTATAAAAACAATTTTAATTTGTAGGATGTAAGATTTTCACCTGATCATTATGGCATTATTATTGTACATTCTTTTGTATTGCTTTGCAACTTTAATATCTACTATACACTTATTATATCTGTCATATTTAATTATGATCGTGCTATCTCTTCTGAATCACTCTAAAATCATAGCAGATTATTGTGTGAATTTGTTTCCTTATAATTTTGATTTGATTAGAAGAATTACCAGTCTAAATAATTGTAGTAGCTTATAGTCACCATCATCCTATCAATGAGGCCTAGGGGAATAACCGTATCTTCAATAATACACAAATTTTAAGAGAAAACCATTCCAAAGGACAGGAATTGCAGCAGAGTAAGCTGTACTTCCTGGGGTCCACAAGGAGTCATTTTTTAATTGATGGGATCTGGGTTGCATCCACCAAACTAGACAGGCAGGAACAATTGGACAAAAGCGATGTTCAGACATTCATGCCCTGTACCATGAACCATTTTAATGATGGGAACCAGTACCTTGAATTCCATCCAGAATCCATGTACAGTTTGCAAACCAGCAAGATCACATATGCATAACATGTATCCCCATCATTACCTGCATTTTTAAAAAACTGAACTTTATTAGAGTGGTCTGATCAATGCAGCAGAAAGAGGAAAAGTGACTTTTTCTTCATCCTGACATTGTATTATGAGACCTAGAATTTCATTTACTGCAGCTGCTTCTCATTGATGTGCCTCGTCTGTAGCTGCCCATTCAGGCCAACTATCCTATATTCATTTTTAAGATAATTTTTTTTCTGCAATCTTAGCAAAATAGAAAACAAAATAGTGACATTATTTTATTATTTTAATTATATGAGATTTTTGGCCCTATTTGTGGAAGGGCTGTTTGATAGCATTTGGATGAAGATGAGTTAAAGAACAATTAATAGTTTTGGACCTGGGGGCTATGCCAAAGTCTCAGAGCCAGATCCCTTAAAATAATTAAGTAATCTATTGTAGATAATTTGTGGACTGCCAAAATTTGTTCAGAAAAAATCATGGACAACAGAGATTGCTAGCATTTGTAAATTAAGCCTTAGAGGCAAATCAGCCTTTGGCCAGCTCAATTACATTTATGGTGGTTCAATAACTTCTTCAAAAGAAAGAGCCTTAAATTGAATGTGTAGAGATTCATCATTGCAACCACTCTTTTTTTATAAAAATACTTTATTAAACAAATTTATACAAATACAGTAAAGTCAAACTTTCCGCTTATTGCAACTTAAGCAAAACAGTGTTCACTCAATCTGACATCTCTCAAATTGTGTAAAATATTCATTCATGGTTGTTACTTTAAACATATAATACAAAGTTTCATCTAATTATATACTACAAATCTAATTACATATAGTGTTACTAGTTTCCATCATACCTTTTTATTTGACCTTATTTTATTAATTTCATATCTATCTTCTAATCAATTGTACCAACAATTCCAAATCTTGTAATATTCTGATTCTTCTTTGTTCTTAAGTTCCAATGATAGATAGCCTGTCCATTTCTGCGCATTCCAAAACTTTTTTTATGATCATGAAGTCGGGGGGACTATTTGCGCATTTCCAATTTTGGGCAAAGGTGAGCCTTGCTACTGTTAATATGTGAAGTATAATATATAATATTTTTTTTTACTAATTTTTTGTTTTAGAATTCTCAATAGAAATATTTCTGGTTTCCATTCAATTTTAACTTTAGTGATTTCTTCAAGCCAATTACTAATTTTCCTCCAATACTTTTTTGCTTTTTGGGCAGGACCACCACATATGATAGTAGGTGCCCTGCTCATCTCCACATTTCCAACAGCTTGCCAAGTTATCAGAAAACATTTTTGTGAGTCTTGCTGGCGGTAAGTGCCAGCGATAAAATATTTTGTATAAATTCTCCTTGTAAGTTGTAGATAGAGTTAATTTATAATTGATTTTCCATAGGTTTTCCCAATGTTCCAAATTTATGCTATATCCAAAGTTTTTGGCCCAGATTATCATTGTTTCTTTTATGGTTTCTTCCTCCAGTTTATATCTTAACAAAAAAATGTATATTTTAGTAATCATTTTGTAAGGCATCCAGAAAGTATCCATGATATCAATCACTCTGAGACATTTTCTCTCCAATTGATTTATTTAGAAACAGATCTGGCATGTCAAAGACAATTTCCCAAAGTGAAATTATTTTTACACATTACACAGAATCAACCTTCTCTCCTCTCTTCTCTCCTCCCACTTCTACACTTCATAAATCACGAGAACCAATTAACTGCAACTGGAATTTCTTAATACAACATACAGAATAACCTTGAACTTTTCAACTCTTCCACACCCCCTTCCATGATATGTGACAGCTGAATTCTTAAAGCTGACAGACACCCCCCCTTGAAAACTCCTCCTCCTAAAAGAAAAGGAAAAAAACAGATACAGGGGTTAACACATTGTCCTTAACCCCCTCTCTCCCCTCCACGAGGGCCCTTCGGTGTGTGGGGGAAATCCTCATGGCATTGGTTAATCAATTGTTCAGCATGAACATCCCAACTCTTTACCCAACTAGCATCCGAGAGAGGGTATCCTTTCCATAAGACCAAATATTGCAATCGGCCATGGTGTAATCTAGAATCGAGAATTTTTTGAATTTCATAATGTGTTTTCCCCATACCATTAACGGTTTAGGGGGAGCGATTGGCGGTGGTCTTATCATTGATGTAGTAGCTGGTTTTAGTAAACTACAATGGAATACTGGATGAATTTTCCCCAATATTCGAGGAAGACTTAATTGGACAGTGACCGGATTGATTATCTTTGAAACTGGGAACGGACCCAAGAATTTTAGACCCAGCTTCTAACTGGGCAGTTTCAACCTAAGATACATGGTCGACAAATATACTTTGTCCCCTACTTTAAAAGGCGGTTGAAGGGATCTATGTTTATCCGCCTGTTTTTTATAATTTTTTGCAGCTTCAGTGAAAGCTTTTTTTGTATCTTCCCATCCTTTCTTTAATGAGTTCATCTATTCTGTTAGGGACATGGATGAGGGAGGTTGTCTAGGTAACTCTGGCATCGGGACAAAATCCATTCCAGTGTTGATTTGGAATGGAGTCAATCCCGTGCTGCTATGTATTGCATTATTGTAAGCAACCTCTGCAAAAGGTAATAACTCAGCCCAGTTTTCTTGTTGATAATTTACATAGTATTCTAATGTATTGTTCAATCATGGTGTTAGCCCTCTCCGCTGCTCCGTTACAAGCAGGATGGAAAGCTGAGGATAACCCTTGAGAGAAACCAATGGATTTCAGAAATTCCCTCCAAATTTTTGCAGTAAATTGTACCCCTCTGTCTGATATTATTCTACGAGGTACTCCATGTAGTCTATAGATATGTTTCACGAACAGCTTTGCAAGTTTTTTCACAGATGGAAGTCCTTTGCAGGCTATAAAATGGGCCTGTTTAGAGAATAAGTCAATTATAGTCCAAATGATTGTATTCCCTTCACTCTCAGGTGATTCAACAATAAAGTCCATTGTGATCTCTTCCCAAGGTTGGGTTGGTTCAGCAACTTGTTGCAGGAGGCCAGGGGTTTTTCCAGTTCTGTGTTTCATTGTGACACAAATTGAGCAACTTTTTACACAGTCCTCGACATCAAGTTTCATTTTTGGCCACCAGAACTGTCTTCTCAGTAAATGTAGGGTTTTTAGGAATGCAAAGTGGCCTCCCAGCCTGGAGTCGTGGCTACATTTTAGTACCAGTAGTCTTAGGGTTGAGGGCACATAAAGCTTAGTCCCTTTCCAAGCTAGTCCATCATTCATTGTCAACTCGGTTTGATGGTCCAGGAACCAAGGATCAGTCAATAGGGCCATTTTCAATTCTACAGTCAGCTTATCTTCCAGGTGTTTGGGGTTGCGGTTGGCTTGGGCTCGAGTGGTCATTTGACCTGCCAATTGAGCTTCTGAAATTAAGGCTTGTACTATTTCTTCTCAGTGGTTGTCAAACTGAGGTTTTCTGGACAGAGTGTCCGCCAGTACGTTTTTCCCTCTGGGGATATATTT